ATTGTTTTCAAGAACAAATTCTTTCAATTTCCCTCACCCACCAACCCATCAAATTTTACAACCCATGATTAATTCCCGCCCTCCCCCCCCATCCTCATTCCTCTGCTTCCACTCCTCTTGGATACTTATACTCTTTCTACAATAATGGTTTTGCACAATATTTATCCTTGTGGGACCGAGTTAGTGCACTAAGCATAATACTCTTCCGTCCCTTCCAAGTTAGGTAATAATTTACAAAATCATTGCTCCTACATGCTGCTTAGTATTCCATTGTGTGAATGTACCATAATTTCTCAATCTATTCGTTGGTGGCTGGACATTTGGGCTGTTCCCATGTTCTTGTAATGGTGAATAATGCTGCTATGAGCAATGATATCCAAATGTCAGTTTGTGCCTCAGTTCTCATATTCTCAGTGTATATTCTAAGTAGTGGAAGGCCAGGTCATATGGAATTTCTATGTTCAGCTTTTTTGAGAAAGTGTCAAACTGCCTTGCAGAATGGTTGTACAATTTTACAATCCCACTAACAATGTATAAGAGTTCTTTTCTTGCCACATCCTCTCTAACATTTATTACTTGCTGCCCTATTAAACTCTAGCCATTTCTTAATGATCTTCAGTAGTATTTTGCTTGCATGTGATATTAATGATATTGTTTGCTAATTTCCACATTCTGTTGGATCACCTTTCTTCAGAATAGGAATAAACATGGAGTTCTTTTAGCCAGTTGACCAGGTAACTATCCTCCAAATTTCCTGGCATAGGCTGGTGAGCACATCCAGAGCTGCATCTGTCATTTAAAACATTTCAATTGTTACCCCACTGATTCCTCCCCCCACCCCCCAATACCTTCGGGGCAGCTTGAATTTCTTCCTTCATTATCATTAGCTCTTGATCATATGGTATTTCCTGAAATATTTCTGTGTTGGTCAATTCTTTTTGATACAGTCCTTCTGTGTATTTCCTCTACCTTCAGATGTTTTCTGGATCATTCAAGATTTTTCCTATAGCTTCCCTAAGCATTGCAACTTGAAGCTTATATTTGTTTTTCAGTTTCTTCAGTTTGAAAAATGTTGAGCAAGTTTTTCCCTTTTTATATTCTCCAATTCCAAGTCTCTGCACATTTGAAGTAGTATATTATGAAGGTTATTGATTCATCAATAGTTTGTTTTGTGTGCTTGAGCTGACTTTTAAAATCTTTTGAGTTCTCCCATTTCAGTATCTCTTCCCATTGTTTTGGCTTCTTGATGCTCCAGTCCAATTTCCAGGGTCTCTTCTGATAACTACCTTGGATTTATCTTTTTCCTCTGTCTTTTTAGTGACCTTTTGCTCTCTTCATGGATGATTATCTTTAATTTCATCTCGTCTTCAATCATTACTGTTCAATGCTTCAAATCTATTCTTGAGATGGTTCCCCCCCCCATTTTATTTTTATTTTATATCGGTTTACACACAAAATTAGAATATATTGTGTATCATTTATATACCTTGCATTTCATACATTCCTACACTCACATTGTGTTTCAAATGATCACTCATGAACATTGTGTTTTATAAAATTAATTACCATTGATTTATGCCTATTATTACCCTGTTTTTCAACTCTCTATTGGATCTTTCCTGGTTCCTTTACCACTCCCCTCTGCTCACCAAACTGTGTTATCTTAGTAATTTCCTCCATTCTCCACCCTCTTTTGCTTACCCTTTTGGAATTTTATCTACATCTTACTGGTTATCCTTTTATTTTTACAATAATAGTCTTATGCAGTATTAATTTATTCTTATGAGTTTGAGTTAGTTGTTTCAGCATAGAGCTGCATAGTGTGAATGAACGTACCATTATTTCTCAATCCATTTGTTTGTTGATGGGCATTTGGGCTGTTTCCATTTTCTTCTTATTGTGAATAATGCTGCTATGAACATCAGTGTACAAATCTGTTTAAATCTGTTTGTCTCTCAGTCCTGTTTTCCTTGTGGTGTCTTCCCAGCAGTGCAGTATCTTGGTCATATGAGATTTCTATGTTCAGCTTATCGAGGACATGCCAAAATGCCTTCTAGAGTGGTTGAATAATTTTATAATCACATTGAAGCTGAAGAAAATTTTGTAGAGATGTAGAGAGATTAAAATGATTGTTAAATTCAGGTGGGATAGACTCAAGACTATATTTTGTTTTTTGTGCACTTCTTTGAATTTTCCTCAGCTTCAACTTACACATGAATAATTGCTTGTCTGATCCACAGTGAATACCTAGTCTGGTTTTGACTGCTGATGCCGAGTTTCTCTAATGATTTCTCCCATGGATGTTGTCAATCTAATTCTTAAGTAGTCTATCTGGTGAGGTCCATGTGGAAAGGTGTAATTCATGATTTTTTAAAGAAGGTATAGTAAGGTGCAATTTTTAAAATATAACAATCTAAATCTCATAAAATTTCAAGTCTAATTTCGAATTTATGGTGATAGGCCTCGAGAAACAAGTTATGTAACAACACAAGGCAAAGAAAATCCAGTATTTTTTTGTTACTAATATGTTTGGTTATTTTGGATTAAAAAAAAAAACCCTAAGAGACTACTGTAAATTAAAAAGAACTTGAAATATAACAATAATTTATTTGTGAGACACAATTTAATCCTGGTTAAACAAAAGATGTATGAAAGATTTTATGCATAAAATGGGGAAATTAGAATATGAACTGACATTAGATGAAGATTATAAACTTGTTTAGATATATTACTGAAATATGAGTGGACGAGAAAATATCTTCATTCTTATGAAATGCATGCTGAAGTATGAGTAAGGTTTAAACTGTGCCTCCCCAAAATAAGTGCTCCTAAAGGTTGTACTTGTAAATGTGACTTGGTTTCAAAATATGAGTTCCCTTTTGTTATGTGAATGAAGCCATGCAAGGACAGATTGCATCCTAAAGCTGATCATTTCTAAATTATAAAGACCCAAAATAGAATAGACACACAGAATAGAAAAAGGAAGGTGTACAACAGAGATAGATGTTTCTACAAGACCAGGATCACTGAGAATTATAACAGCTAGGAAAAGTTGAAATAGAGCTGGAGGACATCTCCTAGAGGTCTGATCTGGATTTAAACTTCTAACTTCTGGTGGCCTAGTGGTAAGAAGCTGCACAGCAATACCGATGGCACTCAGTTCAAATCCACAAGTTGCTCTGTGGGAGAAGGATGGTCAATCTTCTCTCAAGTGATTAATTGTGTCTGTAAACTCTCCAGAGGGTCAGCTATGTGTTGGCTCTGACTCAACAGTACACAACAACAACCACCCTTCTGAAATGTGAGATAATAGATTTCTGTTCTTTATAGCTACCTACATGTGGTATTCTTGTTACAGAATCACTAAGCAACAAAGACAAGTATGTTGGCAGCACATGTCATATCAACAACTTATTTTGGAAATGTACAGCAAAACAGATAGACTTTAAACAGCTCTTTTAGTTTTGGGTTGGGTTTTTTGTGGCTTTGGGTTGTTGTTTTTTTCTTTTGTTTGTTTGTTTTCCTTTTTCTTATTGTGTACCATTGAATCAGATCCAACTGTCACAAGAGGCGTTTGCCGCTCCTTCTCCAGTGGAGCATCTGGTGGATTCGAACAGTGTGCCATTGGGATTGCAGCACAGCTTCTTGCCAGTAGGCCATCAGAGCTCCTAAACATCTCTTTTAATGGTAAGATGGAAAGAGAACAAGACTAAGTCGGTTTTTGTCTCTACCTTATCAAACAGCTAAATATTTCTTCATTTTCTCTACTCTTATTATCACTCTAGGGAACTGTGGAGGCCAGTTTGTAGGAAGTTTCATTGTTAAGCCAAAGGCTATACCACTCTGCTGGTTTGAATCCACCAGCAGCTGCTTAGGAGAAATATGGACAATCAGTCTTCTCCTATGGGATTTTTAGCCTCTGCAAATTCCCTGAAGGGTCAGCTTTGAGTCAGTTAACATTTGGCAGCATTGAATGATGATGATTATCATCACTGTAATTAATATCTTCATCCCTTTAACTTGGAGGGCTTTAATAAACTCTAGTTATTGCTTGTGTATAGGAATTTTATAGGTCAAGAAACTTAG